TTATGCAAGATGATCATCTCTTGGGCTGCCTGTGGTAGTAATAGCCTTGCTTTCCATCCGACGGTGGTATTAATTTTCTTAACTAAATGAGTAACTGTCAAGATTTAATGGACTCATTAAGAGACATCACCAAACATCATATTGAGACCTTGAATATTATCTCACTTGAACAGCTTGCTGGATCATTTTAGGTTGTGCCTCAACTGAGAGTTTTATTGTAGTAGGAGTCTTATGCCATACACTGTACATTACCTTGGAGTTTCTACATCACTAGCATAGTCCAGAGGAGTTTTCCCCATCACGTCTGGTTCATTGATCATTGATAATGTGCTTTTGCTCTCCAAAACCCATGCAACTTCACTGTGTAGAACAAATCACCAGAAAAATAAGAAAGTCAATTCAAAAAGGTTCTAGATAACATTTTGTGATGCAATCAAAAAGTAACTGCACCAGTCTCCATCTCAAAAGCTAATACATGAATCACTGATAAATGTGAGGGTTACACTACTTGTGGATTTTGATTTCATCGTTATACTCTACCATCAGTATGCATTTTCTCTACACTGTTTTCTATACATTTCCTAAGGTTCTAACAAGGAGAATTTGTTTAACAATCAAGAGTTTCTTTAGTTGATGATCATTCTCTTAATTCTCATGACCATACTGTGTAATTCAGGGTTGATATTGTAAGGAGAAATTAAATGCTAGTCACTCTGTTAAAGGGTTAATTTTGACTAAGTATAAATATACAACTTCAATTGTATTCAAACACCTGAATTGACAGTTCAACAAAAACTACACCTGGTTATTTAGCAAGCTGTATTCTGGTGAAATACTCCAAAAGCCATTCTATTAAAACTTTAATAAAATACAAAGCAAAGTACAGCCTGTAATGTTTTCTTACATTCACGATTGTTCTTACTAAATGAAACTGATCAATTAAATATAAGTATCCTAAATGATAGGCCTTGGATCAATCTACCAAAAACATTTTTTTAAGAACTCATAATTTTATAATTCAATGTCATATGCCAGCTTACCAGTGTGCATGTTTGGCAGCTAAGTGAAGAGGTGTACAATTTCCACTGTCTCGCACATCAGTAGGAAACCTCTGCAGAGAAAAAGTAACTGCATTTACAGTACATCAAAATATTAAATTACAGGACAAGAAATTTATCCATATTTTTTGCTTGAAAATTAATATCTGCCCTTGGCTCTACTAGAAAATTAGATGGTGCAAATTCTCTTTTCTAATTAGTTGTTGTTTTTCCCTAGTGGAGACAAAATTATTCAGCCCATATTTATACTGACATCCATGACATTGTTTGATCAAACTTGTACAAATTGTGAAATTTAATTCACAGATAACTTAAGTATGAATTAACTTTAGTATGAAACACAGTACAATCAGAGTTAATTGGTGATGCTTTGTACCATTAATCATTTAAATTTTGAGAAAATCTAAAACAATTGCACTTTAAGAGATGTCAAATAATTACCACAACAACATCTTAGAGGACCAGTAAATCCCACCCAAGCATTTCAGCACACATTTTTAGTGTGTAAATTATGTCACCTGGTGGTCACTGTCCATGGAACAGTTTATCTTATTATAAATAAAAATAATATCTTCAAACAAACAAACAAACAATTAAACAAACAACTCTATTTATAAGGAGGGTAACACAACAGTAATTCAACTGGCCCTTGATCCTAAAAGTAACATAATTAGAAATAAAATGTATTTGAGGATTATAAACTGGTTGACAGGTCTATGGGAATATAAGCTAAAAACTAGATAACATAAAATATGCTGCTTGGGTCAGGCTAAATCACATTTGGACTAAAATGTTCTACTTCATCATAGCTTGTAAAAAAATGTCTGTGAAAGCTTTTCTGAAAGAAGCAACTGTTCTTGCCTCTTTCTTTAGCTTAATGGGTAGCTGGTTCCACAATCTTGAGATTCTACTATCTTCAAAATGTGGTTTTGCTTAAAACATTCAGTAGTTGTGTGGGCATTCTTTTTAATCTGCTAAACTTTTCTTTCCACAGTGACTAAAAATTGTTTAATTTGAATTTGCTGCCTTATGCAAAAAAAAAAAAAAAAAAAAATACAGGGTTTATGGTGTTTCCAAGAAAATGGTCCGTATGGCAAATCCTGATTTAGTAAGAGCTTATCAGAAGGCTCAGATTTCCTATCTTGCCATATAATGAAAATTCCATGTGCTATTTGTATCCAATCACTCAGTGAGTGAAAATTTAATATTAATAATAAATTGTAATAAAAAATGTAATCATGTTTAGCTGGGAACAAGTCATGCTGTCAAGCCATGAGTTAAGAATTTAAATCTGTAGTTTAACAATAATGTCTGACTGTTGGAAATTGAAGCAGCATTAATTGCAACAAATGATTTGAAAGAGACTCCATGGGAAAAAGCTAAACTTCAATCCCAATATTAATTTAAGTCCTTACAAATTATATATTTTAAAAATTTTAACTAAACATTCTTTCAACCAAATATCAAATATTTGGCAAATCTTAGCTTCTGCCTTGATGGAACTTTTTCATGCACAAAGAAATCACTTCATTAATCTAACGTGTTAATTGAAAAAAATTCAATTAATAACATTCTCCAATTTCATAATAAATTTATGTATGACTACATGTACATGTAGCATGATGAAATAGTGATTTACTTTTCAATCATGTCAATTAGCACATCTGGACATACCTTGTGACGAATTAGATATTCTGTGGCTTCTAGCTGACTGTTCTCTGCAGCTATATGAAGGGCAGTCAGACCTCTGTTGAAACAAATTGTATATTTTAGTCTAGAGAACAATTTTAAAGCAAAAAACAGAAATAGTAAACTGAGTCACCTTGTTTCAAATGACTTCTGAGTTTCTCGTTTTATGGAGACAAAATTAAGGACAAGCTTTTACTGATTAAAAAGAATGATCTCTGCTCTCTATCCCTACCTCCAGACCTAAAGCCAAATATTTTCTCAACCTGCTCTTCTAAAAAAATTAATAACGAGAATTCTGCAAAGAGGGCAAAATTCTATTACAAACATTCAACACCCTGAGCAATTTTCACTGTGTCTTGGCACTATTATGCTATGGTGCTATCTCCTGTTCCATGTACCACACAGTATCCACAAGTTACTAAATTATAGTATTACCATAATCAAAGCCTTGTGTAATCATGAGCTATACTTATTAACCCTTTAACTCCCATGAGTGACCAAGACAGAATTTCTCCTTACAATATCAACACAAAATCAAGAAGACAAGTGATGAGAACCAAGAAAAGTATTAATTGGTGGATTATTAGCTGACCCAAAACAAAATTCTCAGAAGTAACATCAGAAGAATTGTATTGCAGACAGTAAGGAGAAACACTAATGAGATCGTAGGAGTTAAAGGGTTAAGATTTACCTGTTATCTCTTTTCTTTAGACTCAGACCACATTCTGTCAAGTAATGCAGCTTTAATCTGGCAAAAAAAAAAAATGATGGCAATAATATAAAATTGTAAAATCAGATAATAAAGTTAAATTCCTTTTTTTTTCTATCATTTTGTCTGTCACCTGATTACTGGGTAAGTTTAGATATCGAAGAAAGATAAACACATTTCATTTCATTTTATTTTTATTTAAACACAGTCAATTCATCAGCCTAAAAAATACATATCACATATGCTAGAATATTTAAAACTCAAACTATATACTATAACACTAAAAGCTGTTTTCCGTGAGTGCCGTGCATTAGACTTAAAGAATGTCATTGATCTTACGTTTAAATACCCCCAGAGACTCTGTGTTCCTTATATCGCATGGTAGACTGTTCCATAATGTGGCGCCATTGTAGCTAAAGCTTTTTCAGTAATAATTAGTGCGCGGTAAGGGAACATTGAGCTTATTTTCAGAGTCCCTGAGGTCATAAGCAGAGTCACGCCACATAAACTTTGAACACAGATACTCTGGAGCTAGCCCGTGCACCTCTCCACATTGAAGAATGAACAAGACCTGAGCCAGCAAGTATGACAAAGTTATGAGTAGATATTAGTAAGTACTAAGGAATAAAATAATATCAACACAGGTGAAATTTAAAATCAAATGCTTGAATGAAGAAATGTAAAATGGTTTCCATGTTTACATAGCCTGATGTAAACATGCAGGAGGTTGGGAGAACACGAGATAAGCGTAGGAAACCATGACGCATGTTCTCCCAACCTCCCAAGTGTTTACATCAGGCTATGTAAACACAGAAACCATTTTACATTTCTTTCATAAAATAACTAATGAAAGAGGAACGAAAACTGTGTTTACATACACTCATGTAAAATGGTTTTATGGCCAATCAGAGCGTGCGTACTATTTGAATTATTTTATAATATCAATTTAATAACATCAAAGTAAAATAGAAAAATTCAAAATTTTCTCCTTCCACTTCCCTAATTATTCCTTCCTTCAGATTCTGTCACATGTATTTCAATTATCCATCTGTTTGAAAACATTTCATTCATTTTTAAACTTTTTAATCTTACACAGACTTCTATTCAACCTCATTGTTGTTGAAAAAACAATATTAATTTTGGTAGATTCTAAGGAGAATGGCTGTTTTGATTTAACTGCCTGGTTATAAAATTAATGAGAATATTTTAAATCTCTAATAATATGAATGGAGACATCCATAACTAAGAGGTGGACTGCAACAGGCAGTTTACATTTTTTTTCCTTTGCTTAAGATTGAGCAATTTGTGATAAGAATACATGAAAGTCATATATTTGTACTGCGGAAAATACATTTTAAGCAAATGAAGATCATCGCAGTATATACTCAACTTAAGCAGTTGAGAAATAAGGCCTGAAAAAAATTCAGGCCTGAACGGGAATCGAACCCATGACCTCTGCGATACCGGTGCAGCGCTCTAACCAACTAAGCTATCAAGCCAACTGGGAGCTGGTCAATTGTGAGTTCGTTATATACCCGTAGATGCTTAAGTTGAGTATATACTGCGATGATCTTCATTTGCTTAAAATATATTTTCCGCAGTACAAATATATGACTTTCATGTCAAAAGAAGCTTTTTTTTCTTTTATCATAGTGCTTCAAAACTGATCACCACTTCATCAGATAGAATGTTATTTAAAGCTGGATAAGGCTTGATTTGCCATCTAATAGGCTCCATAATCACCGCTTCATTTCAACAATAATTATATCTTATCACTACCCAACACTGTTATGACATCTACTAATGTGCAAAACAATTTAAAAAAGGAAAACCCCATGAACAAATGCTATGAAAACCTAAGAATCTTAGCATTGGAAATGAGTAAAATTTAAGAAAATTCGTTTCTCTGATGTAAATAATGATATGGTGCTTTTCGAAACTCGAATGTTCATTTCACACCGATTTTAAGCTTAATTAATTGAGTAAATTATATCACTGAGCATTAAATGAATTCCATAATCCATTACCGGTCACAAAGAAATTGAAACTTGATTGGATTAACAGAACGAATAAATCCAACGACATAAATTCAGGCTATCAAATGCACGTATAGAGAAAAACAAACAAACAAATCAAACAAAAATCATCTTCCGCTTTTCGATTCATTAATTGACCGGTAGTAGTCTAAATTTCTCTAAAAAAACACTTACACAGATCCACTTTTGGCAGCATGATGAACGCATGTCCTTCCAGCGCTATCCTCTGCTCTCAAGTCTGCACCAATCTCCAGCAACTTGTGGACAAGTTTTAAAGAGGCAGCTTGGCAAGCGAGGTGCAGCGGTGTCTCCCTGTAAGCGTTTGGATGGTTGATATTAGCACCATACTGCAGTAATAAATCTATCAATTCTTCATTATTTTTTAGCGCCGCATGGTGCAATGGTGTTAGACCATGCCATCCTACAGAGTTGGCGCATTTTGGATCGGCCTGAAGTAAGTCTTTTAGGTCAGTAATTTTATCGTTCAAAATGACATCGAAGACCGCCATTTTGATAAAAGCTTTGTTTTCTCATTTGGGTAACCGCTGAAGATAATTCTGTCTGCTCGAAAATGCCACTCCCGATAAGGGTCGGTGGAGTGGATAGGGGCATTGGTCACATAATGCCTGAATGTGTGTGCTAAAAATTAGGAGAGGAAGACGCCATTGTATGAAAAACTAAAGCGAAACGGTCATATATCATGACTAGGTTGTAAATTGTCTCAGTTGAGGCAACGATATTGGGAGTCTTTTCCTTCTCCGAGTGGTTTTAAGGGTCATTTTATTGGATCACACTCGATTGCAGTAAGAAACACAATCGAGAAATTGATTGGTTCGCAATTGGTTTCGAGCGAGGGAGGACTCCTCGCTTAGTTTCGAGCGATGCATGTGTTTCAAACTCATTATTTGAGGGAAGGGATTCCTTGAAACTCATACCATTTTTCTCCTAACAGCACTTTTTAATCAAAATTTTTCCAACACTGGAAAAATGAATAAACGAACAGACAAAAGAACACGACAAACAAATAATCGAATGAACAAACGACTGACACGCCAACGAATAAACAAAGAAATGGGCATGCGAAATAAGGAGCAAACAAACGAAAAAAATCTTAAGTGAACGAATGCATGAAAGAGGCTACGAACAAACGAATGTGAAAGAACGAATGAAATAATGGACAAACGAATAAAATCCTGAACAAGTAAAGAAAGGGGTAAAGGAGAACGAAAGAAATATGCTTGCCAAGTTTTCCATACTTTTCTAAGTATCTCACTGAAGAGCTAGAGAATATTCAGCGCAGTGCACTTAGAATAATTTTCCCAGTATTAAGCTACCAAGAAGCTCTTAAAGAGTGCAATATTGCCACCCTCTTACAGCGGCGCCAATTGCTGACGGAGCGCCTATTCAGTTACATGGCCTTTTGCCGTCATGTAATCTTGGTACTGTAGCCTTAAGGAGAAAGCGCACTTTTAACGTATCTTTTTGCAGAACAAATAGACTGAAGAACAGGCTATTTCCTAATGGCTTCATCATGTGTAACACGAATTTTAATATACATATATGGTATTTTTTAGCCTTTTTTTTTAATTTAGTTTTTTTATCCTTTTTGTATTTAGTATTAAATAAACATTTATAAAGTCCGTAATCCAGCCTTTTGGCTGCAATGGATATTAATAAAGCTATCTATGGAACGATGGAATTGACGAACGAAATAAACCCAATGAAGGAATCAACGGATGAATGGACAGGCGACTAGGTTGGAGAACCAGAGCGAAGTCAGAGTTAGTCAGCCACTGACCAGTCGGTCAGTCAAATCTATCATGACATATCATTTTGATTAGGCGGTTAGAATCTGTTTGGCAACACAGCGCATCGCAGTTTACGGTGTTTATTCCGGTACGTCGCGAAAATTGTACAAGTTTATATCTATCTTGTCTCGTCCAGGCCTCCCTCATTTCTTGCAGCTCAGTGTCCGAGGTGTCATGAGCTTGTTAAACTTGTCACCTAACCATCAAGCATTGCGCACTCTATTTCCCATTCAAAGGTACCGGATGTTGAGGCGGTCTCGCAATACATCTGCGAAAGAGCATTTTTTTCTATAAGCAGTAGCAATACTTTCGTAAAAGTGGAAATTTGTCTACGATGCAATATGGCTGATTCCCATAAGCATCGATTCGACTAATATCTCCTCTTAGCGAAGGAACACCTTTCTTCATTTTGATCGTAGCCTCATAAAATCCATCATTCGGAGACGTTGTGAACTGCAACTGATACAATGTGTTCTCGGTTAAAGTGTTGACGGATTTGTCACCGAGTATCACTCCACAAGAATCACAGTCATCATCTCGGCTACTTTTCTCAAAGAGTTGCAATTTTACATTTGGCATGTCGATGTATGCGCTTTGGACTTCTTTTAAAACAAGCTTTTGACAAAGATTTTCTAATGCAGAGTATTTTGACATTAAATTGTTCATAAACTTAACCACAAATTCTGCTAACATCTTTATCAGAGGCTTGTTTGTTGAGACTTCTTCTAAGTTCAGACATGGACACCAGTGCTCCTCGACACCGCTATTTTCACACGTGCGATTGTCTTTGTCAATCCTGTTAAACAGGCTTTGACCAGTCGTTATCCCGCTCGGATAATTTGGATACGACAGAATGTGACGCAGGGTAGCGTACACATCAAAGGGCGTGGTCAATACTTCTGAATTATGAATCAAATTCTTGTATAAATTTCGATACTTCCTGGTAAACCACTTTGGTACTGTAATGGACATGAAGGGAAGTCTCTCCTCTAGCTTCCCTTGGATTGATTTTCTCACATCAGAAAACCTAGCTCCATGGTCTCCGAATATAATCAAGAGGGTACTGTTGAGAAAGAACTCTTTTTCCATGGTTTGCAAAATTGTTTTTAAATCATCATCGGTGTAACCAATAGTGTTCTGATCGTCGTGTGAGATCACCGCGTGTGTCACCAGTGAAAATTTTGGCCTGTCTTTGTAGGCACGATAGAAGCTCATCAGATACTCCAGTGAAATATTATGGGAGGCACGGCCACTGATGCAATGGCCTTTAATGATATTTTCTGCCTCCAACCAGAATGGTCTGGAATAATGATCCGTGGGCGGATCTTTGAAACCAAGTAGACGATAATTGAATGATGCAACACGTGGAAAATCCTCGGAGAATAAAGTGGCGTATCCGTGTTTTTTGAAATCTTTAAAAATCCAGCGCCACTTATCAACTGTGTCTGAGTTACTTTCACTTCGTCTGGCTTCAGGCTGGTGCTTTTCAGCAATCCCAGTAAGCAATGCACAAAGCTGAGCCGTTGTACCATCACCAACAATTGTCTCTCCTGGAGAAAATTTAAACGGTAAGAGAGAAAAGAAAGTAGTCAAGAAAGACCTGCTTGCATAGAATTTGTCCTAAGGGAAGAGACTAGTACAAGTCATACTAGTCATTATTTATCACCTTGGGGGAAGGGTTGGTGGATTTTTTACAGGGGGGGGGAGTGAGGGGTCGGATGCTTCTATGGTGGAACAGAGGGAGAATGAGACGTCGCACGAGATCACATGATCTTTTGGTCGTCGCCAACAGAGTATAAAGTTGAGACTATAGATAATTTACTGCCAATTAACTTCCAATGATTAGAATATTACGGAACCTTTAGGGAGATCAGGTAAATTTTATTGTGACTCAACCAAATTATTTCAGTCGCTTCTTCCCCTTCCCTCCTTCCCTCTCCCCCTTCCCCCTCCTTCCCTCTCCCCCTTCCCCCTCCTTCCTCCTTCCCCCCTTCCCTCCTTCCCTCTCCCCCTTTCCCCTCCTTCCCTCTCCCCCTTCCCCCTCCTTCCTCCTTCCCCCCTTCCCCCTTCCCTCTTTCCCCCTCCCTCTTCCCCCTCCCCTCCTTCCCCCTTCTCTCCTTCCCTCTCCCCTCCTTCCCCCCTACTCCTTCCCCCTCCCCTTCTTCCTGACGACAGATCATGACAGGTTCCCAGCACTATAGAACTTCCGTCGTCGTGTCAGGTTTTGCATAGACACGTCGAATTGTCAAGTTAGAACTAGTGTCATGTCCTTTCGGTCACCCTGCTGTGAAAACGTTATAAATCTTTTCGAATCTTTTCCGAACTTGTTCAGAGATGCTTATTAATATAAGTGTGGAATACGCTTTTAGAAGTGAAAAATGTATATGTTTTTGAAAAGGGTGACTCTTTTCCATTCATCGACATACCTTTTGAAAAGAAATGCGATGAAATAATTAGCAAAAATGTCAAGCAAATAACCAAGCAAAAGAATTGACCACGTTAACGACATAAACCATTACCAACCTTGAAGAATAATTGAATTGAGGTGCTTCGTCAAATATTTCAAAGTGTTGGGCATTTTTCTTTGGAAATTAGCAGCAGATGTGGAATCAAACATGATCAATGAGATATCCAGTGGAATACCACCAGCCTTCACCGATCTTGATAAGACTTCCTCTTTAGGTATGACCTGCATATGCACATCACTCTCCACGTCACCGGACGTCGTAACAACATCGACTCGGACAAAATCAGATTTGACCTTAGCTTTCCCCAAGAAACTTCCTAAGAATTTAAAGCAAACGTTAAGAAATATTTGACTACATTGTCGCACTGCTTGAATTGAAAAATTCTTTCGGATGCAAACTATATTTGACCGCCTTACCAACCTCCGTCTTATTACACAGAAAAGGAATACATACCTCTTACATACCGAGTTCAAAGTCCGTACTGTAAGTTGCGGACCGAATAAAAAAAAATTCCGTAACTTACAGTACGGATGAGGAAAAGAGGTGAGCAAGATATTTACAATATCGATCGCTAGAGCAGAGATATTTCAACTCAAACAAGCTTTTGAGTTTAGAGGGCCATACAGTGAAATACGGTCCTCTTAATTGACCAATCATAGCGCACGTGCTAACTGAGAGATATGACAAAAGAGATTATTACTGAAGCTTCACCCTACGAGGAGCCTTAGCTTCATGTCACGAGATGGCTTTATTTACCATCTACGACGTTACTATAGAATTAAATGCGTGTATCATACTTACCAGAGTTGGAAGCAGTCGCTTTTCTTCGAAAAAGCCAAGACCACTGAAAACCAAAAGAAAGGCACCGACGGGTTACTAAAGCTTGGTTAGCTCTAAGAGTGACGAGTATCTAACTTCTCCTAACAATATCAAGCTGAATCAAACATCAAAGGTCGCAAGAACAAAGGAGATGATCATCAACTGAAGAAGCTCTCGATTGTTAAACAAATTCTCCTTGTCAGCACCTTAGGAAATGTATAGAGAACAGTATGGAGAATTTAAGTACTGATGTTAGAATGTTAAGGGTTATGCTCAATAACAGGTAACATGAGATGATTTCAACACAACGATAGGAAACCTCTTTTTAACGTCTATGGATTGCAGCGATCAGTTTTTTACAATAGAAAACAGCTGTTTGCAGAAAGGTTGTTGGAAAAAGCGCAAGTGTACGCAACACTGACGAAAGGCACTAAAGCAGTGAGGGTAGTTTTTAGTCCCTGGTTCCATCATTTTCCTTTCAGAGAAAACAGCGCTGTAAGGTTTAGCGAGTTGATGATTTTTTTTTTCAATTTTTTGCGCAAGACTGACTTTTATTACTAAATTTAATGAAAACGAAAAACGAACTCAGTGACCTCAATGAACGGCGAAAATTTGAGGTCAACAGAAATCAGGTTGATTGGTTTCGAACTCTATCAAGAAAACAATTTCTTAAAAACTTTTAGCCTTGGTGTAATTGGGGCATAAGTTTGGGCTAACTACTAAGAAATTTTATTAGGTTGATTTGTGGTTGCAGCTGATGGGCATATTTCTTTTTACGATGAAAAGGGCACTTTATTGTAGAAAGTGCTAAAGCATTTTTTTTAAATTTACATTTTTTAATAGCTAAGGCACAGTCTTAAAAGTTATTTTATTAACAGTTAACGGAGGGTTTCAATGAGTTTAGCCGGCTCCTGCCGATAATAACACGCCATCAGGAGTAAAAATTGACAAATTTTAACCGTTAGCGGTAAAAGAAATAAAATAAAAATAAACTGTCTCCCACATCTCTGTAGACAGACCCTTATATTTACATGCAATTTCAAAATGGTCATCGATCAAAGCACTGACATACAAGTGTTAGTTCAATGAAAGGCAAAGTAACAAGCAAGACGTATTAGTTGGCAATTCAAAACAAAATAATACTGAAAAAATTCAGAAAAAAATACAAGAACTAGATCGAAACCCAGAAAAATAACACTTAAACTGTGCGACCGTAAAAATACGAAAAATTCGTCAGAAACTAAAACACATAAATTGTCGCCTAACACGTTAGTCGTAAAAAAAAAGGAGTAAAAAATTTTTTCATTTCTAAAATTTGTTATTTTGTCTCATTTTGGGTTAACCGATAGCCGTGAAATGGGAAGAATTTTCACAGGTTGCCGTAAAAGCCATCTGCCAATTGAGTTCCTCTTAACAAAGATCGTGGTGTTCAGTAACGTTAGTGGCCTGTTTATTTTTTAATAAATATTTGTTTAAGCTTGCCTAGTTCGCAACGGGCTGAAATGTTTATTTTCGTCCAAGAAAGAAATAGAAAATGCCGTCAAGCGCCATTTGAAGTCCTTGTGGAAACACATTAACTAATTTATCTTGTTTTTCTGTTTGTGTAACTTGAGCGGAACTGACCTGTTACTTGTTACAAGTTTATCTTAAACAGACCCTGTACTGAAAAGAACAAAGCAAGGCCGGTCTTCAATCTGTCTTCGATACGATACCAACAAGAAAGATTTCTCACCGGAATCAATCCCCTTTCGTTTGGTTGCACAGTCGGCTTGACCAGGTTCCACATCTCTATGGGATCGGAAAGCTCAGCCTTGGAATCATCTCCACGTGGTCGTTGAATTGTTCTATATTTCGCGGAAGAAATCCCTTTGCCTTTCACTTCGAGAATGTCGCCTTTGAAGTTCGAATATGTCTCTCCCTTGCACTCAAGCTTGCCAAGATCTTTCATGAATTTCATTATGCTAGGGTGGTATGGATCCAAGTTAGGAAGACGACAAGCGGAACTGAGCTTTCCCACTCGTCTAACATATTTCATACGACCCAACCAGGTTTCGCTAATGTTATAAGTGCTCGCAGGTAATTTATCATAGCCTTGAAAATACAAAACTGTAAAAAAAATTCCACAACAAATAAGAAGGATTTTAAAAGCGAAGCGGAGGCAACGTAACGGCATTCGGTTTGAGAGCGTAAGATGTACTTTTCGTCCCTTTCACATTTCATTAACAGTGCAAATGCAGTTATAATAAGGCGTGCGCAGGTACCAGTGTGGTACTGTCACACGAATAGTGACAAAGCTTGCCTTAAATAAAAGGACCCGTTAACTATCGCAGGAGACGCCGTGGCTGGATAAAGATTTCCTAAGCTCTGACCAGGTTCATTTCGAGAGCTCAAAATACAATTCTCCATATTTCCAGTCGAACGATTTTCAAAGGATTTAAGTCTAAAATCGTATGCGCGCCATGCAGCCGTCATTACTACGTTAATGTTAGAGAGAAATCTCCTGTGCAGTTTTTGAGGACGGTCTCGAAGAATTCTCCATTCATTTTTCTCAACTTCAGGATTTTCCTTTTTGAGGTTAAGGCCCCACTATTGCATGAATCTGACTGTTTAAAAATTATTATGCCTCAAAGTTATTTGCTGATTTATCAACCGAGACGGGATATTGTTTACAGAAAGGCCTCCAAATTAAGCTCTATAGACACATTTTGAAGGTCCTAAGCTATTGTGCTAAATTTGAAACCAGCTCCTTACATGGATGAGGAACTAACTGGCTCAGGGAATTAAAATTATTTATTTTGGTTTTTACTATGATCTTTCCCGGTCGTTAATTTGTAGTTAGCCCCGTTTATCTCAGAAATGGCACTTAATTAATAGAGGTGGCTGCTTAACAGAGGTGAAAATTACAGCTATGAAGTGGAAAATATTTTTTAGGGACTTTGACGAATGATCGTTTAATGCAGGGTGACCGCTTAATACAGGTTCGATCGTAGAAAAAGCTAAAAAAAATATATAGCGCTTTCGATGTATGTAGAACATAATTATGAGACAATAATTAAAAAAATATGTATATGTATATGTGTATATATATATATATATATATATATATATGTATATTTATATGTATATATATGGGATTTGATGAAAATCTTAATAAGAAAATCTGATAGGTTTCTGAGAGATTTCACTCAGAGTGTTCGATAATTACGCTCTACTGTCTATTTTTTTCCATTTTTCCAATTTTGTTCGGTTTCTCGTTTAGTTTTAGTTTGACATACTCGGACTTAAGCCTTGTTCTCTGTATAATAGCAGTATTCGCTGAACTCATGTAACCAGCGATCGGCGAGGATCGTGGCAATTCGCGCATAATTAATCACTGCAAGCTCACGAGAGCACAAATACCACAAACGTACTCTGGTATTTCGTAAACTTTGCCCCGTTTACCAGGGATAGAATCCTAACGAACTAGACTCAATCAATAGACTCGATTAAGCTCAACCGTTTAATTATACTCTCGTATTCACTCAGTTACAACGGGTGTGTAAAGAGCTACTCTGCATAACTTGTAACGAACTCATTCTCTTATACTACATTCTCTACATTGTGATTGGTTGTTGCTAAGCACTGATATAAAGGTTATTCAAAGTTGTGTCGATCATGCAAACCGATCAGTATTCCAAATCACGAAAGGCGGTGCTTCTAGCTCTTGATAAAAAATGACAGTCTCTGTAACTAAAAAATTGTCTCTCTTGATATAATGTTTACACTTGTTATCTGATATGTGTCACGCACGAAACACAAAGTCTCCGACAGGTATACATCATACGGTGTTTCAGCGCTTTCTGGGAAACTTTGAGTATTTATCACATAATCGGATAACTCGTCTTCAACGAGCTATATTTTACGAAATAGTTCTATCATGAACATGCCATTAAGATTAATTTTAACTGTCTCCACTAATATTTTATACAATCACTGAACACGTCTTTCACTTATCTACCATATTAAGAACGTCTTTTAACTGGCCTATCATCACGTACGCTGACTCAAGCAGTAACAGTATTTCCGTAAAAGAGGATATTTATCTTCGACACAGTGAGGTTGGTGTCCATAAGCGTCCAGGCGGCTGATACCTCCCGCGAGTGACGGAGTCCCTTTCTTCATTCTGACAGATGCTTCATAAAATCCTTCATTAGGTGACGTCACGAACTGCAGCTGATACATTGTATCGCGGGCTAAAGTGTTCATTGACTTTTTACCGTAATTTAACCCGCATGAATCACAATTTTCGTCGCGGTACGTCGAGTCAAAAAACTGCATATCCGCATTTGGCATGTCACGGAAAGAGCTTTTGATTTCTTTTAGAACCAATTTGTGGCACTGCGTTTTCAACTCTGGGTGCTGAAAGATCAAATCGTTCATATGGGTAACCACAAAATCGGCTAATTTTTTTATCACTGGTTCCTCTGTGGAAACTTCTTCCAAGTTCAGACACGGGCACCAGTGCTCCTCAACTCCAGCACTTGCGCACGTGCGTTTATCTTTGTCAATTTTAGTAAACAGACTTTGACCAGTTATTATATCACTGGGGTAGTTGGGATACGACAGGATGTGACGTAGTGTTGCGTACACGTCAAACGGTGAGGTCAGCACTTTGGAATTATGGATCAAATTCTTGTAAAGATCTGGATACTTCTTAGTAAACCACTTTGGGACTGTAATGGACATATGAGGAAGTCTCTCCTCTAATTTCCCTTGGAGAGTCTTTCTTATCCCAGTATATCGAATACCATGGTCGCCAAATATAATCAAAAAAGTATTTTCCAGAAAAGACTCTCTCTCCAAGGTTTGTAATGTAATTTTCAAATCATCATCGACATGACCTATTCTGTTCAGATCGTCATGAGACATAATTGCATTCACCATGAGAGAGAACTTGGGTTTCTGTTTGTATGCACGAAAGAAATCAACCAAATAGTCAAGAGACATATTGTGAAATGCTCGCCCACCGATACACTGGACAACCCGTTGAGTAATGTTGTCCGCCTCCATCCATAGTGGCCTGGCAAAATGGTCTGTGGGTGGATCTTTAAATCCGTGTAGCCGGTAATTAAAGGTTGCATAAGCTGTCGAGTCCTCAGAAAACAGGGTAGCGTATCCTTTCTGCTTTAAATCTCGAAAAATCCACCTCCAATTATCAACTGTCTTGGCATTTGGTTCACTTCTTCTCGCTTCTGGTTGTTCCTTTTCAGCTATACCAGTAAGCATTGCACACAGTTGGGCTGTTGTACCATCTCCCACAATTGTTTCACCTAGTATGAGTAATAAATACACCTTAAGAGACTGGCCAATATTTATCGCCTTACAAGGGGAGGAGGGGGTCGGAGGACACGGTAAAATCTACCTGATCCCCCATAAGGCTCGGTCGTATTTTTATGATACTCCTCGGAGGTAGTTATAATTTTCATGAATTTTCCTCTCATGGTAGCTATGTGCTTATACCAATATTAAAAAATATGGAGGGATGGAAGAGATAAGAGGAGATGAGCGGCGAGGGAGTGAATGGTATTAAAAAAAAAGACCCTCAATTTTTCTATAGTCCTCCCTTTATCCTCTGTTAACGAAGACTGACCCCCCCTCTGTTCCCACTGAAAATTATGTGACCCCCCCCCCAATTCTCCGATCCCCCTTTACGAAAAATAAGACTGGTCCCTTTTTCGATGGTTTACCAAATGATACGCTCAGATAATCTGCGAGGTTTGCAGTATTTTTCCAAACCCCGCAAGGGAGAGGAAAAATACGAGCAAAACGTCGGCTAACGATAAAAACAACATCAGCGAAACTGTTGAAATAGTTTTAAATGACTGCCAAAAATCTGATACGCTTAAAGGTTCAAAGCACAAAAATAGGATAAAACCGAAGTTAGAAACGTTCAGTGCGAACATTTCATTGCTCCGCTTTCCGTGCGTATTTTTGCCCCGTTCTACAGTATGTGCGCGTTCTGATACCTTTATATGGTAAAATGGCTTCAAAGTGGAACAAGAAATAGTGTTTTATATAGACCTGCACGGCTGCCGCAGCTCAAACTGCGGTATTTATACCATGAAGTGAATAGATATTTTATATGGTAAGCCGAATTTTAGATGCATTTTGATTGATTTTTTAATTATGACCTACTGGAGGAAAAATGCATAGATGACGTCACCGTTAACAACCTTTTGCTTTTTTATCATCTAAAACATACAGATTTGATGTTGCCGCTGGTCTGTGCAGTCATAGATCACAAAAGACGTCCAATGATGTTCTCGTTGAGAGTATCATTGACACGCGTGGCTGCACTTCGCTGTGTGCCACGTTTTTGTTCTTACCACACGGCAACTTAGAATCTATCCGTGAAATGGCTCCTGTCTAAGCATGAGCTGCTAGTCCATGGGCTGCTCGTTCTCTTAATCTTTCTCGAGTTCTTGTGACGATAACAATATCAATAAATTAACCAGCGATGAGCCGATGGACAAACCTATGAGACAGCGGATATCATCTTGTCCAAAATCAAATGCTAGAATTTTCACGGAAATGCACAACTACCAGTAGGTCTATAATCGGATCTCTGATAGTGAAGGTTCAGAACACCTTTAATTTTTCAAAGCAATTTAGATCACTTCACGTCGCCACGGCTTATGTCATTAGTACTTCTCATCGCGTCTTCCATACCAACAACTATACCAGACACTAAACACCGAAATTTTGAAATAAACAAACCTTGAAGAACGACTGAATTGAGATGTTTGGTCAAGTACTTCAAAGTGTTGGGCATCTTTCTCTGGAAGTTAGCAGCAGATGTGGAATCATACATGATCAGTGAGATATCAAGTGGAATACCACCAGGTTTCGCCGGTCTCGATAACACTTCATCCTTTGGCACGACCTGCATGTGTACGTCACTTTCGATCGCACCCGAAGTTTTCACGACATCGACACGGAGGTATTCAGCTTTCACGGTTGCCTTTCCATAGAATGGGGATGAAGGGCGATCTGTGTCACGAAATGAGAAAAAGACGCACGAAGGATGTTATGCAAGTTTCTACCCTGCCCGTCAAGAATGTCAAGCAAACGAAAAAGTATCCCGGACGCAGTAGTTTCCTTTGCAGCCTGTGTTTGAACCCGTGGGGCGTGGTAGTAAGGCCGGGGGTAAAGTGCGTTTCGTAACGAGATCCAGCAATGGCTACGAGGGAGACTAGGATTGCAGACGCTCGATTTTAATCAGGCGCGCTCAAGTTAGACCAATAAGCGTGCGACAGAAGTCAAACACGCAAGTGGAAGCTCTGTCATGTACATGTTGCACGTATATTGTGTGCAGGCCAACGAAAGCGATTATGAATGAAGATTATAAAAAGTCATTTACAATACAAAGGGAACTGGTTTTTGCTGCCGAGAGAAGTTTCCAAACTAATTATATGGGGGAGTGCATGTGACGGAAATTTGTTAGTGACTTTCACACCGCTTTTTGTAACACATATGGCACATCTCAATCTACTTTAAGGCAACTACGAGTGCTACTGTAAAGAGCTTTTGGCAGCGCCACATTCGTTATTTTTTTTAGGGTAATGCTGTGGAACAGTTTATCCTATTTTTTTCTTATGTAATGTTCTATACTGCGCCAGAGTCCAGTTACTATTACGAGTACTTACATCCTTTGATCCAGTTCCACAATTTTCTAAAGATACCTGTTAAAAAACCACAAACAACGTTAATAGTCAGAAATAGGCTTCTCCTTGATTCCTTCGCGGTCGACTTATCCAAAAGTTACCCTGATTTTTTTAATATATATACTTTTCTGATACTCGTGTCCTCGGGCACTATCACAGACAACACTTGCACCTCCACCGCTGGTTAATAAACTCCACAATCAGAGCGGCGGACCAAAAAGGGAGGGAGGTTGACCCAAAACTGCATGGTTCTTCTGCTGCTATTTGCCGGTTTAATTAAACGAAAACAAGCTAGGGAGAAGTCCGGGAAATGATCGGACATTGGCGGATGGTGTGACAGCTTTAGCTCAGCTCCACGTTTTGTACTCTGCTGCTGATAGAGCACGCTCTTTTAACCAATAATGTTTTTAGTATGATATAAATTATTCTAAAAACAAAGCAATAGTCATGAACTGAATCTCTCTTTCTCGCCAGTATTTCATTTAACAAAAGAGATGTATGCAAAGGTCTCTATTTTTATTTTATGTGTAAAGAATAATGCAAATCCAAATGCAAAATTCAAACCCGTTCTGAAAGTAACCAGAAAACGTTAGGAAAAGACTTTTAGGCTGTGCAATGGATTTATCCAGTCGATAAATTCTAATTCTGTTACAATATAGAAATGAAACCAAACTTAAGCCCAGGAGGACAAAATGGGCCGCTTATATAAACAAAGTTTGTTTAACAAAACCGCATTCTAAACAATTAATCTCAACCCAAACTCTGTCTAGCGCGAATTAAGCTGCATCTTAAGTGGCGATCTATGTCAGAGCGGTCCAGGGCAATTTGTATCGGAAAAAGTTTTGCCTCAAACTTTGCCCATTAAGCTATCTTTGGTAGTTAATAAATAAAACCACATTGGTTTTATGGAAATACGTTAAAAAACTTTTTTGACAGAATCATTTGCCAGATTTTAGCCGTTTAAAATGTGTAGAGTATCAATCAGTGTGTTTTAAAAGCTATATTATTATATTATATTATATTATCTTTTCTTTTGCAAATGATTAAAATGAAAGATTTATGAAGCTAATAATAAAGAACGGTTGGAGTTTGCCCAACAGACTAATTTGCATAATTGTGCTGTCACGTTAGCAAAATCACCAAAAGTCTAAAGTAATTACGGCGAAGGAAGTCAATAAGTGCAAGACGTTTTTACATTTTTACTGTGCTTTCGAACATCTTATTAGAGCATGGTCTCTACTGACTTAGCAGCTGGTAATGGAGCCTGATTAAATTAGGGAAATTCGCACAAAAGTCCTCGATAGGATTGCAATTTTGCGGTCGCAAAAAGCTATAGCTCTGGAGAGTTTCATCAAAAATCCCTAATCTAACATTTCCATTTGCGAACTATGACCTGACAGTTTGGAGATGCTATTGGAATGTTGAATCAATCCGTCATGTGTAGCCTGTGACTTGGTCACCAACTTCGAGGTGACGTTGATAAAGAAACTCTGGCAATGATCCGTGCTTAGCCAAACCAATTGAAATATCGTTCAATAGGGATCCCTAGGTAGCCTATATAGATGGCTTGAATGACGATCAATCTTTCTTCGAAGCAAGTATTAGGATAACAAGGTGTAAAGCAAGCTTATCGGTGAGATTTTTCTGAGACGACAAGAACAAAAAACATAAGACTTGATTGATATGTTAATGAACGCCTTGTCCTCGGGCACGTGCAGAATGTCACGATATCGTCACACAAGTTACTGCAGAAGAAAGCATGCAAAGCGCTCAGTACGTGGATACCAGAGCTCATTCGAAGCTGGTTAAGCACGAGTATGCACTCCATAGAGTGTCTTGTTTTGTACAATAAACGGCCTAGTTAGGTCACCAGAAGACCGGGGTCGATAACGCGACATGACATAAAGGGGCGCCTGACAACTAGGGGAACTTGATTTACTCACTTACCGAAAACTTGACAATCAATACATATATATATATCAATATTCGCCACTGTTCGAGACTATTCGCTAGTATTCGCTACTATTCGCTAGTATTCGTCATTATTCACGACTATTCGTAGTATTCGGTGATTATTCGGGTTTTATCACCAGCCTGTGCTTTATGATACGTTGCGTTATACGAGAAGAAATTCAAGACGGCATACGAGAATCACCTGAGATGACATATCGATTTTCATCCGCTGGTAAAATAAAATTTTACTTCATTAAAAGTTCTTATCAAAATAAATCATATCTTACCTGGTTTGGAGGGTTTCTGATTAAGTATTTTGGCTTGGTTAACAACGTGCTTTGGTTCGGAAAGTACAGTATGAAAATCATCTCCAGGAGCTCTTTCAATTATTCTGTATTGTACGGAAGATATATCTTCTCCTTTCACTTCCAGAATATTGTGAGCGTAAGTTGAATACGTTTTTCCTTCACATCGTAGCTTTCCAAGATCTGTCACAAACTGCATGATGCTTGGGTGAAACGGATCCAAACTCGGCAGTCTACAGGCTGACGAGAGATTTCCAACATTTTTCACATACTTAACTCGCTGATTTCTTTTAAAATCCACATAATGCTGCTTAAACGACGATTCCGCTACAACGGTGTCACTCAGCTTATAATAGAGGAGCAGTAGTAGTCCACCCGACACAGTGAAAAGCATAAGATTAATTTGGTTTCGTCGAAAACCTCGCTGAATTTTCGTTGGACAACGTAAACATAATAAAGCCCTCATCATCTTCGATGAGATACAGTGTAAGTGCTATGAATGAGCCGTAATGAATCACGTCTTATCCAGTATTTTTGGTTTGTTTGTTTGTTTTACCTAATATATATGTCCCACACTGTACGTGCCTACGCTCGAAACCAATGCAACGCTTTAGTTCGGTTTCGAAATCACATAGTTAAACACCTAGCGGTGTGCGCACTCCGATTGCGTTGCATTGTGGTAGCTTCAATCAATCAATCAATCAAATTTTATTTAAAGAGGGTGACACCCGGAAACATTGTTATAATTATAAACTAGACCGTATGAGCAGGGTAACTGGGATACCTGGATTGTACTGGACCTTGGAATGGAGTGATACTACGAGTGTTGGACTAGTATACTGAAATAGTGAGCTTAAGTCTGGCCAAGGGCATACACTTATTTCAAAACAAAGGCATGCTATGCATGCAAGAGCTAGTCTGGGAGCAAATGTCATAAAATAAGGTCCCGTGTGAAGTTCGTGCTGAAAGCAAGCACCTAGTGTAAAAGTGTTCATTAGGTCCTTCTAAACATGAAAAGTTTTGGTGCCAGCTTTGCCACTTGCTCAGACGGCGGGGGGGTTAAATTCTGACTCATGAAATTCACCGTGAAAACGAGGCTAAAACACATAATTCCTCATAACTTTGTTAATAACGAACGAAAATACACCAAACTTGCTCACATGATACTCCCTGTTGATTTATGCTAATTTACATAGGTCACGTGACCTTACGCATGAAAGCGAGGCTGAAACATAATTTACTATAAATTTGTCAAAAAAAATCCTTATCATGCCAAACTTGCTCACCTTAGTCAGTTAGTCAGTGACCCCATACATGGAAATGAGGCTGGATTGCAAAACACGCCAAAGGTGAACACATCATCCAGGACAATAACGTTGACTCATTGTAATGCATATTAATAGCATTTGAATGAAAAATATAAAAGCTAAAAAGGTGTAATGATAATGTATTTTGTGTGGCTTATATAACTTTATTATGAGCGATTTCTACAATCCTATTTCGCACAAATTCCTGTAAATTCTTAACCTAGGGGGCCTGGGTGATTGTGAGCCTAAACTATTGGTCAGCGGTAATTATTTGAGTGTCCGCCATGTTGTACTTACAGTCATCACAGTGCTTGTAGTATGACGGTTTTGGCCGGTCTAAAGCCCCTTTAGATTTTAAGCTATGTGTAATCTGCCAAATGAAGCTCGAAGAAAGACAAGTGAATCACTTCAGGTAATTGCTAGGTGTAATGGCTTATAACTTTAACTTTTTATTTTATTGTGTTTTTCACCTTGGAATCGCTGAAAAGGTAATAACATCCTTGACATCTCAAAACATTTCATTTCATTTCACTAACCAAGGTCTTACAAGGTCGAAAATCGTCCCTTATGACTGCAATCTGTGCTTCTTTTGTGAAGAGAAAGCGAAGTACCAGAACCCTCTGCATTTGGTGTCAACATCATCTGCTAGTAGCTCTCTTGATAATGCAATAAAGCAATCAAAGGATTCTAAACTGCTCGTGAAGCTCTCGACGGCGCTAGACAGCACTGACGCTCATTCCATATTACGGCACAAGAAGTAGAGTGGAACAGCTGGTTTGTCGGATGTACCAACCAAAGACAGACATCAAAACTGTCAAAACCCTCAGATGGTCCCTCTTTAAGAAAAATCAAGCTGAGTCTGAGAGGTTGCCGCCCACACAAGCTGCTCTCCATCAAGCCATACTGAGAGTGCACTACCAGCTTCTTGTTTGGAACAACGATCATGCAGTTGCCCTCACCAGAAGGCTATGGATGGCAAGATGAAGATGGAAAGTGAGTACCAGTCATGACAAATCTTCCACCAGTTCCAGAGGCAATTATACAGCTTGTCCGATGCAAGTGCGCCAAGTCCCGTTGCTCTAACAACCGTTGTCAGTGTCAAAAAGTCGGACTTGTCTGTACTGATCTCTGTCTGTGCTCTGAAGATTGCCAGAACGAGTATGCTGAGAGTGATGATGAGTATGATGAAGACGAAGTCGAACAGGAAATTTCATAGGAATGGACAACAGAACAATGTATATAGATATTCAGTAAGACTTTCATGGAACCAGTATCATAAGTTGGCAAAATTATTGATTATGTGAACAAGATAGATTCTCAAATGGAGTCTCCGCAGCATTTGCTTTATCCGTCTCGTCCCTGTGCAATGGGCCATAGGACAATGATTAGTTGAAGTTTTTATATCTGAACTCGGATAACCAGATATGTATCTGCCTAGTAGTTGTTAATACATTTGGCAAGACAAATGCCATCCTACACGATGCTACCAGATATATCCAGCCTCGTTTCCATGTATGGGGTCATGTGACATTACAAAGTGGCACCAATCGATGCAAGATGTCTAACTGACTAAGGTGAGCAAGTTTGGCATGATAAGGATTTTTTTTTTTGACAAATTTATGGAAAATTATGTGTTTCAGCCTCGCTTTCATGCGTAAGGTCACGTGACCTATGTAAATTAGCATAAATCAACAGGGAGGATCATGTCCAATCATGTGAGCAAGTTTGGTGTATTTTCGCCTATTATTAACAAAGTTATGAGGAATTATGTGTTTTAGCCTCGTTTCCATGCTGGATTTCATGAGTCAGAATTTAACCCCCCTTAAAAGCCGTCTGAGCAAGTTGCAAAGCTGGCACCAAAACTGTTTCATGTTTAGTAGGTCCTAATGAACACTTTTACACTAGGTGCTTGCTTTCAGCACGAACTTCACACGGGACCACATTTGCTCCCAGACTAAGTTATTTTTTGTGGGGTGGATGAATTACTTAAAACATTGTAAGTGGTCTACATTATTACAAAAGGAAAGAAGAGTATTAACGCAGAAAAGAACGAAAATGTCGAACTACCTCACACACAGGTATTTTGTGGTAGATTATGTGTGTTGTGCGAATAAAATGTAACCAAAAATAAACTGTATTGGTGCCACGGATACCTGTTAGTACAAAATGCAGACAGCAGTTGCAGACCGGATACAAAATACAGACTGCAGATTGCAGAGTGGATACAAAATGTAGACTGAGAATCTGAAGAGTTTTTACGTCTGGTATGTAATAACATGTCATCTTACAGCTTACTGAGCGTCACGCGATCGCTTTTCCGCGGTCAGCCTTCACGATTATTTGCACTATTGTGGAAAATTCCTGGCCCATTTCTCGATGAAAATCGATCGTAATATAATTTCAAGCCTTCAATATAATCTTCTTATTTTGCGCCCGAGTTGGTTGGTGAGATGTGCGTACAGACTTTTTACTAACGTAATAAAAGTAGATGACGTAATAACAGTAATAGTAAAGCAAGCTTAAAACGGCAGAAATCGCCAGAATCTACAACGGATACACAGGGTATGAGTAAGTTTTATTGATTTTACGAGAAAAATGTTCATATTTCGAAATATTTATCCTTGTAAATCGACCATATTTCGTTCCCTATACTATTCCTAATTTGCAACGGTTCCTCTCGTAACTTAACACCGAGTCACACAACGCTTGACGCGTTCATAAATTAATCGTTGGCTTTTTTCTCGAGGCGTGAGCTTGGGCCGCCTGTGACAAGACAATTGCGAAAACAATACTTAACATAATAACATTAAACAAAAAACACAGGATTTTGGATCATGTGTTAATTAAAAAAGAATATCCATACAACTGCAATGAAAACAAACATAAGATTCACCTTTCTGATCGTGAAATTAATACCATTCGCACTGTTATCGTAGCTACGTTCCCTGGCATCAGGTGAATCCAACATGGCGTCTTTCGTCACAAGCAGTTTGCATCCATTAGAGTTTTGTTCTTCAGTCTCACGGTAGTAGTGTTGTTCAATAGATTGCATAGAATATATGCAGTTTGGTTTCAGATTTCAGATTTTGCTTTTTACAACAATTGTACGTTTTTCAACTAAGACATTGGCATTCTTGGCATACAAGGCATACAAGGCATACAAGGCATACAAGGCATACAAGGCATACAAGGCGTACAAGGCATACAAGGCATACAAGGCATACAAGGCATACAAGGCATACAAGGCATACAAGGCGTACAAGGCGTACAAGGCGTACAAGGCATACAAGGCATACAAGGCATACAAGGCATACAAGGCATACAAGGCATACAAGGCATTCAAGGCTTTCATGGCTTTCAAGCGTTCGCTACTCAATCCACTCCAAAATTACCGCTCAATAACATCTTTTAGTGTGGAATTGCCGCGAACAATACGACTTGTGTATGCGTCTGTAAGTATTTTGAGCGTTTGCGCCATAATGCTCCAGGTGATCGCAATCCAAACACGTTGAAATACAAAACGATTGAAAAAAGAGTTTTATAGGCCAAAATCTCGTGGTTCGTCATGTGACCCAGCCCTGTCTGTATATGACAACGTCAATCATCATCAAGATAACACGCGTGATCAGCATGTGAACACCTCATTGGATCACAGTTAGTTGTCATGGTGTTGAGGCCCAATGACCACTGAGTACTATTGCGCAATTTTTCCATTTTGTGGCGGAGGAAAAAAAAAAGACGACAAAAAAACAAAGGCATTTTATGACTGGGCTACCACAGGTATCCCAGTAAAAAGCCTATTATAATTAAAAAAAACCTATTTAAGATTTTAACTAAGACCTAATTAAGTGTGGATTGGCCGCGAACAATACGACTTGTGTATGCGTCTGTAAGTATTTCGAGCGTTTGCGCTATAATGCTTCAGGTGATCGTAATCAGAACACGTTGAAATACAAAACGACCGACAAAAGAGTTTTCTAAGAAAAAATCTCGACGACAAAAAAACAAAGGCATTTTATGAATGGGCTACCACAGGTATCCCAGTAATTAGGGCAATGAAAGGAGTCACTTTACCAACGAATAACTCTACAATACACACGGCGACACGCCGGCCGCATAAGCCGAAAAGCAAAAGGCAGTTGATCGTTAAAAGGTGTCGATAGGCTTGTGCGACTCCTGCCATTCGCTTTCCCTTTTAAATCTTCTGACCTGAAAGTTTAGCTGTTATTAGGATATCTTTTAATGACTTTTGTTTGCGATGTGATAATAAAGGTTAGGTTAAAGGTGTCATTTCTCCATCTGGATTGGATTCGTTGGTTGGCGTTAC